AGAATGATATGAAGCTCTATAAGCTATGCCACGTCACCTCAAAAAATCAGCCAATAGAAAACATTTATTTTGCCATGTCAGATCAGCTTAAGTCAAAACTCAAAATAGATACAATGCTTTTTCATTTCCGTCAAAGCCCAAAAGAGCCCAAAAGTATATATTCACATTCCTTTCTACATTCGCGGCGATCTATTTTTCATCTTTCTCTTCCCATTATCGCCAAAAAAAACCCTAACGTTAGGAGTTAAAAAGCTCTGCGTAGAGAAAATTCTCCTATACATTATCAAAGCTATTAATTAACAGTAGAATGGGTACAACTCTTCATATTCCCTCTGTCAACAGCGCTTTCACTTCTTGCCTATTCCATCCACCATCAAAACAAATCCCATCGATTGGCTTCAACAACCTCCGCCTAACCCTTTGATTGATGAACATGTACTCTAAATCTTTATATTTCCATGTTTTCGTCTGTCAATTCATATATACTCACTAATCTCATACATCAACAGCGGCACTGGCATACAGAAGTGTAGAAGCTTCCCATCAGCTGCTGTCACGAACTGAAGAAAGCGATGATGGTGGGTGATTATGAGGAGGATGAAGAAGCGGAGTATCACGTGGTGCCATAGGATGCGGCTCTGGTGAGTGCTGATTAGTTCATGTTCTTTGATATCACTCAAATGTTTAACCCTAAGTAGTGAATTACTCTCTCAAATAAAAGGTTCAGTTGTAGTACTTAGGGATCGAATCCACAGGGAACTAAGGAATACAATAGATATAATCTAAATGATTATGCTAGGTTGAATAGGTTTAAAATAGTAAAGTTGCAGTTTGTAAGCAATGGTAAGTTGCTTAAGAGAATGGATATAGGTTTGAAACAATAAAAGAAAGTAGTTAGATTCAAGGTTGCTATTCAGATAATAAGGATTATAATGCTATAGATGTTTTAATGAATTGCTTGCAAGATATATGAGAACTTTGATTCTTAGATAGATCTAATAGAAGTCGCTAAATAGACACATCCATTGATCTTATTGCCAGCAATATCGACCGATGTTTTGACAGCGATATCGGACGATATGGGTTGCTGTCGATCGATGACTCTATAGGAGTATCGATCGATATAGCATAAGATCGAACCAAAACTGTGTTCACCACGATCATAGACCGGCTCTCGCACAACCCTAGAGGATCTAAGCTTATGCCAAATGATTTCAGGACAATGATAAACAAGTTAAATCACATCCATGATCATACTCTAGGTAGCTACTCTAGAGTAAGCATTAGGGTTCATTTGGATTATGAATATCAACAATTCAACATTCCATAGTTGGGGCTAATCTCTCATAACTATTTGAACCCTAAATCTAACAAAGAGATCTACTCAGACATAACTGAGAGATTCATGACAACTAGGTAATAATAGAAACTCATAGATTAGAGGATTGAACTTTTTGTTCTTGGAACAACAAATCTCTTTTTGTGTTTCCTCTAAATCTAGAATTCTATAACCTTTAAGAAATTAAGATGAAAAGAAATACTTTATAGAATAGAACAAAGTAACAAGAAAAGTATGCAAAGCTTTTCAAGTACAAAAGGTATCAAAAGGTATTAGAAACATAAAAAGCATGTCTAGCCAAACACAATGGAAAAAACTATAAATAAGAGTTCCATTAGGTTAAAAACTCGTCAGGGGGATTTTTGTAATATTGGGAAGACTTGGGCTTCAAGTCGGCCAAGTTGAACTTGTTCTCCACGCATCATATCGATCAATGGTACATGGTGTACATTGATCGATGGAGTATCTCGACTTCATCGTCAATAGAAGCGTCATCGATCGATTACACAGGGTGTGTATCGATCGATATGTGTCCTCATTATCTGATCTTCATAGTCATCTCGGAAAACTCTCCTTTAAGCTCCAAAAGGGCACCTAAATCATCATTTTACTCCAAAATGCTCCTGAACCTGAAAACATACCTAATAGATTCCAAAACATATATAAAACTCATAAAAACATATCAAAACCATGGCTAAAAGCGGGTCAAAATCATGGTATATCATTCTTTCCCGTGAAGATCAAAGTAAAAATTCAAAACAAGAACTGATTTGGATCTTAGTTTGTTGCTATGTATATAACAAAAGGTAATGATCACACTACTAATATACTAATATATGGGGTTTTAGTCTGCAATAATTCTCCAGATTTAATTTCACATACTATCTAAAATACGTTGTTCTTTTCAAGAAACGTTAGACTTTCACTTTCTCAAACAAGTAGTTTCAACATAACATATGTTGGTCTTACTCAATCTCATGTGAGTCTTGGTTTAGGTCTTAAGCTTAAGAGCGTTAAGCTTAAGAGCGTGGTTTCATATCCACTGATCATCATGCTTTGAAAATAATTGTATATATTGATATTGGATTTTGATAGATCTGGCACAACAGAGCAGGTTTGATGGTTTAGCTTCTTATCATCTTGAGATATCTTTGGTAGCTCAGTTGATAGACATGAAGATTGCCGGAAACATGATTGGCAACCTTGACGCTTTGAAGGGGATATTTCAAATGGAGGAGAATGATGATTGAATATCCAACGATCAGCTCGAAGAAGAATGGAGAATGGAGCTACTGATAATTCGTTCGTTTCACTATGTCGTATTGGCACTGAGCTCACACGAGGACATTTAGAAAATCTACTCTAAATTTTGGTCTCATGTAAGAAACCATCTAGACTATCTAAACTAAATTTTCATCACCATGGTTTTGGTTTTTCTATTACAGCTATCTATATGGTCACGAGGATCTTTCTATATGTGAAGATATATATAGATGTGCAATGTCTCATAGATATACTCTGGTTTCTATGGATGGTGGGTACTAGAGATGGCGTCTTTCCTCATGTAAAGAAAGATGACTATTTGACTTTTGTTATTTTTTGTTCCATTCGGTTTTAACTACTAGTTGTGATGATGCAATAGTTTTAATGCCTTTCAATTTGAACAAGGTTACCTATTATTTTTTTATTAAAGACTGATGGCCGATACCAGATTGATTCTGAGGCCACACCAACAATGTTGAGCCGGCAGCTTCCTTATGTACAATCTCTGCTAGTACATATACTAAGCTTTCCTGTAAGTGTAAACCTTGAACACTGTTTCCAGACTCAGTCTTTATGCTTTCTGCTCCAGGTTTCAAAAAAAAAAAAACGTCGAATGCTATGATTGCAGGTGGACAGAACAAAACATTTCAAGCTCACACATTTCGAAGAGGTAAGATTTCATTCCTTATCACAAACCGCTGTCACATTTTTTCCACTTAGATTCTGGTTAATGTGAATGCTTTTGTCAGTGTTTTACAAGTCACCACTAGATGGTTCGGATATAAAAAGCTGAAACTGTTAAAGCAAGAAAAAAATTATGGGAAATTAGTCTCAGATCCTCCTACATACTCACTGAGGTTCTATTTAAATCATATGGT